CCCAAATTTGCTGCATTTTCAGAAAAAAAAATAAAACCTATTTAACCATCACTCATTATACTATTAACAACAATACTGCTCCAACTCTCCAAAAATGTCGCTGCACTACTTCCGGTCAACATTTTGAAATAATACGAGCAAAATAGATACCACTTCCGGTCAAAATTTTGGAATAATCCGAGCAAAATAGATAGTACTTCCGGTCAACATTTTGGAATAACCCGAGCAAACTAGATTAATAATACGGCATTGCTCTTACAACTAATACATGATTTTTTTTGTTAAACTATAAATTCAACATGAACAATAATAGAAATTGCCTGCAACTGCTGTAGTAGAAAACTACAACTTGTTTCTCCATTTTGATCAGCATCCACTGCTGCCATCTTCAGTTACTCCGATCAAACCTGAAACAGACATTAACTTATACATACAAAACCAAGCTAAATTTCAAAACACAAACCATATATCGTTTCAAATAAACAATGAAACTCGCACTACAACATAATAATAATAATAATCATTTTCCTGTGTGAATAATTGACGAAATTGAAAAGCAGAAAAAGTGCTACTACAATTGAATCTTCTCCTTATGCGCACAAACGAAGTGATTGAACATAACAATTCGTTAACCAGATTTGACATGTATTAAAAAATGCAGTGACGAAATTCCAACATGATCCGTTATATTATATACAGAAAAAATAAGAGCAAAATAGTACAAATGCCTCCATTACTAGTCGAAAAAAAAACAGAAATGCTTACAGAGAAAGTAGGGTTTAGCTGGGAGAATATGGCGGACAGATCTGCTTGACTATCACAACTGTTATCAGAATTTGTGTAAAATCATCGAGCAGAAACAAGTGTGAGTGAGTGACAGTGAAAAGGATATATTGGAAGACGGAAATGTAAATGACTCAGAGATAATCTTTTGCCACTTCTTATGGATTTATTTACCAACATGACACTGTCATTTTACTTTGTTTAAAATGGCCTAGTTCCGTCATTTTCCTCTTTAATTAATGTCGTTCACAACGTATCACATAACATTTTCATCTTTCTGATTTTTGACTTCGAACTCTCTTACATAAGACACTTCAATATCGTTTGATAACTCGTTAAAATCACTTTAAAGTATTAGTAATTTGAATATTAATTATACAAGTTTTAATTTTTTTTAATTATAATCAACTATCATATATGTATTAATTATAAGGTTTCTGAATTGCAAATCAAACATTCATCAATTTTATAAATGAATAACTTATTTTTTAACTAACTATTAAATATTGTATAACTTATACTACACCGATAAACTACCTCTTACTAGCTATCAAAGGACTCATATATACCGTCTCCAATATTATTTCATTAACGAAAAAATGAGATATTTAAAATTTAAATTATTCTTTTATATTTTAATTAAATAAAATATAATTTTAATCTCAATTTTGAATTCTAATATTTTATCTCACTCTCAGATAAAATAAATTGATATCAAAAAATAATTTTGAAATAATGCTATCCACAGATCAAGTGATTCTTAAAAATTTTAGTGTCCTTACTACTAAAAAATAAAACTAATGACACATTGGCTGCATGAGCTTATGATTGATTGAACAACTTAAGATACTAATTAGTTATGTTATATTATTATCCTATAATTAAAATTTATGGTCCTATAACCAGGCAAAATTAAGCCACTACTATATAATTGTATTATTCCATACGGCTATAGATTTTTATTAGGGAAAATAATTTTTTATTATAGTTGGGGTGGAGCTCTAGAAAGTGATGGTGTTAGCTTAATTAATAATAAAAATATTATTCTCTCCATTTTACTTTAAAAATTTATTTGATTGATCTTCATGGAATTTTAGATAGATAGAAATTATTTCAAATTTATCGTCTTAAATATGCAAATAATCTTTGTGTGCCTATAAAATATTTTAAATTAATATCTTATACATGTCGTAACAAGAAAATTAAATTAAATTAGTGTCAAATTAGAAAAGGCATTAAGTACTAAAAAGAAAAAAAAAAAAGGAAGAATAAGATTTATTTATCACTTACATAGTAAATACAAGAAAAATATCATTTCTTGTTTCTTATGTATTAAAAATAAATATGTTTTATAACTTTCTCCGTTCAATAATAGTTGTTCACTATATTATTTTAAATTTTTTAAAATATTAATTTATTTTGTGAAATTAAGAAATTATTTTATACTATATTTATAATTTACTTTATCATTAAGTATATTTATTTTCTTATTATATTTTGCAAGATATTATATTAGTTATAGTAAAATTACTTTTATTTATAATTCATAAAAGATAAAAATTGTAGAGTTACAATAAACTCCAAAATTGTTGAACATGTGAAATGATTACCAATCAAAAATTCAAATTTGTAACCAAGGTTTGTGATGTGAAAGGGGTGTGCAACTACGTAATTAATGTAGATAAAAAGGGTATATGAGTAAAAAAATGCATCATAAAATAATTGAAATCAGCTTGCGTTGATGACGGGCAAAAGTGATGGTGAACACTTCTAGGTGTCATCACGAATCAATGATCTTAATGACTTAATGCTAACTTTGGAGACCTAGTTGTGTAAATTCAGCATTATAGATTCAACATGCGGGTCCACGTGTCTCATTGAGGACGTACGTGTTTTTGTTAACTTAAAAAAATTATGTGTATATATATTTTCGTAAGTCATCGGTTGTTTCTTAAAGTTTTCTCTATAATTCACTTAGACATTTCAATTGATATTAGTACCAATTAAACACTTTTATTTATATAATAATCATTTTTATTAGATATTTTTTAATAATCAACAAAAAAATATGAAAAGTGTGTAATATACTTGCGGTGACGTGGCAACATACTAATTAAAAAAATAACATTTGGCATTGGATCCAAAAATTATAAAAAAAAAAACACACACATTTAATATTTAAATTTTTTAAAAAGAAAAAGAATAATAAAAATGTCAACCTATTCTACCCCACCTTACCCCACCCTACCCCAACCCCCTTTTATCTTCATCTTCTTCCCTAAAACACATTCTTTTTCAAATTACAAAACCTTATTCTTTTCAAATAATTTCAAGATTAATTTTTACTAAGAGTGAAGAAGAAAGAAAATTTTGTTGGCGGTTATTCAATTCTACATCGATGACAAAATGAAATTGATAACCCCAAAATTATTTCTTTCAATTTTTTTATATCATTTTTGATAAATTTAATGACCATATATGAATTTAAGTAAAAATCTTTGTTCGAAAATTGTGATAAATAAATATTGGCTAACTATTTTTAACGTAAAAGTCATTTATCTTTTTTCATCTTCTTCATACTTGTTCCTTGTTTTTATGAGATTTGAAATAAATCATACAGAGACTTTCTTTCAAATCTGAATCTTTTATAGTTGATTTTCATTTATCTTCATATTTGGAAGATATAAATTTTTTGTATATAAAAAAAAGAAAAAAATTATGTTGGAGCTAAAATGAAGAAAGTTTTGTAAACTAAATTATGAAGAAGATGGTAGATAGAGAGTGGGTGTTTTCTTTTTTGAAAAAAAATGTAAATAAAGAAGAAAATATTTTAAGTTAATTATAATACCAAGTGTCAATAAAAGAAGAAAACATGTAAAAAGAATAAATAAAAAAGACACTATTTTAAGTGTTTTCATGCGCTTCAGGGAAATGCAACACACATTTTTGTCATATCAGCATTTTGTGTCTAATATGTACATGTTTTGAATAATTTAGATGTTCAATAGGTACAAGTCTCATTTGAGGTTTCTAAGTGAATTATGCGAACAACTTTGAGGGGCGGTATATGACTTAAGCCTATATCTTTCTTAGTAAAAATAGATAATTTTTAATATTTATCTTTTCACAAAATTAATATATAAATGATATATTTTTTCTATTCAATTCTTGAGAGTTATTAGTCTTGAAAATGTAAATTTAATCAATATAGAAAAACTAAAATATTAATTAATATTTGTTGGTCAATTTAATAAATCAAGATTTATTAACTTATGTTCTGGACACTTGACTTTAAAAAAAACAATAAATAAGGATACACCTGAAATTAAAAATGTTGACATATAAATATGAACTAATGAAGTATTTTACTAGGCAAGACATTAAAATTATTTGGGTGCACTGATTTAAATGTTGCACACCTTTGAGGTGTAAGGGGACTGGACCCGAATCCTATTTACCATATTATTTTCTTGTAGGTAATGTTTTATTTTGATACTTTCATATAATTTACTTGATTGAAATGATTCTTATTATATAATAAAGATGGTTATTTTGATTATTTTAGTCATTTTATACTAAATTTAAACAGATTTATTAAAAAATTCTTGGTAGGGATCCCCCCTCCCCTCAACAACCAAAAAACAAAATAGAGTGGCGAATTGAACACATCCAATCACCTATTACTGCATGTTTAAGGTAAGGATATAAGATTGCAAGGTGTTTTTGGTATAAAAAGTGGAGGAAAGTAATCAAAGATAGTGAAAAATAAGAAAGAAATATCCAAACATACAACTTATTTTATGATATTCTCTAAAATTCTCTATCATTCGAAAAAGTTAAAAAAATACTATTTTTTTATTCTCGAGTACATTACTTTACATAGTGTATTAGTCAAATATATTCATTTAGGCAATGTATCGAGACATATGAGATGTACCAGGACATTGCTTGATGTATCCAAAAGAGACAAATTTATTCACAACGTTGAAGAATATATCTGAAATCGAGACGTGATGTATCAGCACATCTTTTGAAATATATTCGAATTCCACCAAATTTAAAAAACTTTTGTAATTTAGAAAAGGGTAACAACGACGTCGTAGAAGTGGAAGTCTTTTTAACACTACAAAATTTGTGTACACTACCAAATAAATAATGTGGGACCGCCAATAAACTTGTTCAAAACGACGTCGTGAAAGCTTGTTGCAGGCTTTTTGTAATCGCGCCACACAGCAGTGAAGCAGACTGGAAGCTTTTTCCCAGTCTCTGCTTATACTCATCACCTTCTACTTTTTTTCGCACACAAAATTTCTCTGTCTGCGGCTCAGAAGAATATGGAAGGAGTAAGTTCTAGAATCGGTCGGGCCTCGTCGAGGTATGGCGGCACAGCTCCAATTTTTAGTGGTCCAGTTAGAAAATGGAAGAAGCAGTGGGTTACTACTCAGCCCAACAACAATCTTCGTGGCACCGGCAACACTAACAACGTTACCGGACCTAAACTCATGCTTTGCCGTTGGACGCCTCTTGCTTCCGTTCATTCTGGAGATTCTACTATGCCGGAAAAAACTCCTAAACGGAAGTTCCGATATGCACCTGTAAGTTAACTTTTTCGTACTATTAGGGTTTAGCTACCATTTTACTTTCATTTTTCTATTCGAAATTTTGGATTTCCATCTTTCCTGGATTTTTTTTTTCATTTGTTGTTTGGATGTTTGAGATGCTCTATCTATTGGTGTTGTTAGTAAGCACACATTGACAATCGGTGTTGCTCGTATGTAAAGCTCCCCCACCTTCAATAAGGTAGCAAAAAGGGCGGGAGCTCTTAACGAGGGGTTAAAAGAAAAAGTAAGCACACATTAACTTTTTTTCGTGAAGGATGTTTCTCTTTGCTGTTTAGGATTTAGCTTCAAAGTTTTGGATTTCCACCTCTCCTGGAAAATAATTTTGTTGTTTGGGATGTTTGAGATGCTCTATGTATTATGTATGGGAGTTGTTAGTACGGCCCTGTTCTCCACAAAGTCGTAAAATCATGTATGGGGGCTGAAGCCTGTCCAGTGCCGGAAGGTCAAGGAAGTTGGTGACCTGATGATAGGGGAGACCAAAGACCCGGTGAACGGCAGACGTAACTTTAACGGTTCTAAGGTGGTGAAAATCCTTAGCGGGGTTGCTCATATGGGAGACCAAAGCCCCAGTAAACGACAGACGTAACTTTAACGGTTCTAAGGTGGCGAAATTCCTTAAGCGGGGTTGCTTGCAGGGGCGGCAGTGGCTCATTGGCAGAAAATTATATGAACAAAGAAATTGAAAGAAAATTATGATATCGTGAAATATCAATTGCTTAGTGTCATCTCTTCAGCAGAGGCTCACATTGATAAGTATGTCTTAGAACCTTGATGACGATACTGAAGCGCACATAAAACGAGACAAAGTGCTCAATGGTTTTTGAGCCTTGCTTTAGGGCTTAAGTACACATTTTTCACGGTGCTTGAACAGTTCAAGTGTTTGGAGTTGAGTGAAGATAGGTTGTGGTGACTGAAAAATGCTAAAGGGATCTACATAGCCAAAGATTCTTATGTGTTGCTGATAAGAGCTCCCAATACGATAGAGGTATGTCATCCCAGCATCTCTTCATCACATGTTCGATTGGTGGTTAAAGAAAAAGTTTTCGCCGTATGTGCGTTTTCCATAGTATTTTATTGTTAAGCATAGTCATGATTTTTTCAATCTACTCGTCTATTCAACAAATTAATTACAGTTCCTCACTTCTCGAGAATTTATACATCCCTTATCCGTGTATGGATAGCTATCTCTCGAGCACTGGTTTAGGTTCGGCCTCAATGGGAAAATAAAATGGAGCACCTAACAACACATCTTTACAGACCAAGAACTACGAGATCACCACTTTCATTCTGGGGTGATGGAGGGATTGTACCATTCGAGCTCTTTTTTTCTTGACTCAAAATCGAAATGGGAGCAGGTTTGAAAAAGAATCTTAAGTGTCTAGAGTTTGACCAGGAGGGTCTCTTAACACCTTCTTTTTTATTCGCATCGGAGTTATTTGACAAAGACTTGCCAGGGTAAGGAAGAAGGGGGCTTGTTTAAAAGAAGAAAATCTGATGAAGAGAGGTATTCAGTTGTGTTCCAAATGCCATCTTTGTGGCAGGAACCTTAGACTGATTCTCATATATTCCTACACTGGAACGTGACTGCACAATTTGAGGTATCGGTCTATGTATGAGAGGATTTCATGGGTAATGCCAAATCACTCACTGGATAAGGCCATCTCGATCATAAGGCCACTAAAGCAATCGCTTGTCCCTATTTTTTCTCAATGATGTCTCTCTCTCTCTCTCTATATATATATATACACACACACACACACACACATATATATAGTTAAAAGAAAATTCATGTACTGATAACTTTGAAACTAATTTTTTTTATAAAAAATAGAAATGAGAAATTGAATATTGTTTAATTGTAGTGTCTTTTCTAGATTTTCATGTGGCTAGTTAATTGTAGTATCATGTGGCCATCTATTTTCTTCTCTAGCTCATTTATATTTTGACAATTATCATGAACCAACAATATTGTGTTCTTATACTTTTCATTGTTGAATTTTAAGTTGGTCAAACGTTCAAACATTCTACATTATGTGATATCTATTCTATTATTGCATCTTTATAAAAAGACTAAATTTGTTTTGGTGTCTTGTTCGAATTTCAAGCACTAAAACTAATCAACACTATTTTAATGGAGTATTATTTGTCAACTTATCAAATTCATCGCTACACTATTTTAATATCATTATATTTTTAAAATTTTGAGTCATGTTTTATTATGACAACTTTATATTAATATAATTTTCATTGAAAATTTACATTATTTGCTTTCTTACTCCATAATGTCTACATATATCCGCCTCTCCAGGCCTCATTTGCAGAATTACACTAGTGTGTTATAATTATTCAATTTGTATTTATCTACTTAAAAAAATAGGGACAGCCCTGTCACTGGATCTACTAAAATGTTGAAGTAGGGAGAAGGTTTGCCTAGGTAGAAAAGCATATGGATGTAATGTTTGGAGAAAGAAATCTGAGATGCTATGAACATACCGGTAGCTCAATCGAGAAGATTAAGGTGAAATCACTTCTGTATTTCAATTTTTTGGTGTATAGAAGAATACTCATCAGACACTCTATCTATGTTGGAATCTTTGTAAGTAGAGTTTTAGCCTGTTCTGTCAGTTTTTTTAATCTCTTGTACGCATGATTACTGCATATTTTTGCGCAATATATAAAATCTGTTACCATTTCAAAAAATGATCTCTTTTCTCTTATGACCTCTTGAAAATGCGATAGGATTAGAGACAAGGATATCTGAGACAAGGTTGGAGTGGCTTCAGTGGAAGGCAAGAGGCGGGAAGCGAGGTTGAGATGGTTCGATAGTGTGATGAGAAGATGCTCGGATGCTCCCAGTGCGGAGGTGTGAGAAGTTGACTGTGGATGGTTTCAGGAGATAGAGGTAGGCTGAAGAAGTATTGCGGAGAGGTAATTAGGTATGACATGACCCAATTTTAGCTTTACCGAGGACAATGACCTTAGGTAGGAGGTTGTGAAGGACACTTATTAGGGTAGAAGGTTAGTAGAAAGGAGCGGATTGTTCGTCCATACTAGTAGCCATAGTATCTTATGCAGTTTCTTGTTCTTCTGTCTCTATTACTATCTATTGTTTCTTGTACTTCAATTGTCATATTATTTTATTGTGGTATTGTTCCTTGACGATCATGGTAGTTTTGTTACTATCTGATGGTTCTTGTACTTTCACTACTATTTATTGTTTTTCATTGAGCTGATGGTTTATCAAAAACAACCTCTCTATAGGGGTATGGTTTTGTACACTCTGCCTCCCCAATGCCATTTTCTGTGTTGTTGACCTCTTGAATATGCAGATTGTTGACTTGGAAGAAAAGAAAAATGAAGTTCCTGACAACAAAGCTAAGTTGAGGAAGCTGAATCAAGCTATCACATGTGCAACACCAAACGATAATATCTTGACGAAACAAAGCATGAATGATATCTTTGATGACGATTTTGAGGTAATATTTTGATCTTTGTTCCCTTTTTGGAAAAACAGTTGCATTTCTGTTGTCTATGTTGTTTTATATTTTCTTTTCTACAAGTTTATGTCTGCTCTCCTCTGCTCAATCTTCTACTTACCGTTCATCAAAACTTAAATAAGTTTTGATTCTTGAACGATAAGAAATATCCTACTCGATATGTGGTGAAATTCCAATAAACTCTTCCAACTCATGGTTTGTCCTTTTTAATACGCCAGCTCGTTATTATGTGTAAAAACTAGGACTCTATAAGTCCTCAATAATCAAATTAATTGATATCTAAATCCTAAATCAACTAGGGTTGATTGATTAGATGAATTCTCCATATTGACTTCGCGCTAGTCAGGTTCATTTCATTCCGGTAGTAAATAATTTACCTCGAGACAAATTAGGAGTTATCAAAATCTCACACTTATTTGTCCAATATATGATTTATTTGTTGACATTGTTAACTGTTCTAGCTAATTATTCCTATTGATCGCAAGTTCCTATTTTGAGTGTGGGAAAAAGTTCTGATCTTCTGGTTAGACTCTCCGAGGGATTTTAAGTTTGCTGGAATAACTCCTTACATTTTGTTTTAGCATGATCATCGTACAATCACATGGACGGACTAAGGATCTCTGTAAGTTCTGATCTCCCGTTGACTCTTCGAGGCATTTTATGTCTTAGGTGCACCTTAAGCTGAATTGTGGTCATTTCTAATCTTGTTGACCCACATCCATGTGATTTCACTTTTTGTGCCTACTTTTGAAATATTATTATTTTTTGGTTTCCTATTCCTACATGGGAGCACCAACTAAATTCGAATCGTGCTTTGCAGGTGTTGCTCCACTATTAACCTAAGTTAATGAAAGTTTTTTCGTGTACTACAGGAACTGAGGACAGATCAGACTGAAAGTGAGGTGGATTATGACTTGTACTTGGAAGGCTGTGATTGAGGCCCGGAGGAATGGAAAAGATGGGTTGTTTATATATTAACATAGATGGTAGTTGTATTTAGGTCTGAATAGTTGTAAATAAAGCTCTAGATTGTGTGCCAACTTGGATTCAAATGTATAAATGATTGTAAATATAATTCCCCTCTAGTTTCTGTGCCAACTTACACTCTAATGTATAAATGATTGTAAATGTAATCCCTCTCGTCTCTTTTGAAGACTTGCTATGATAATTCCCTCCCCTATTTTGATTCAGGCATCCGTCATTTATTAACAGTCATTGTTTAACACTGTAAAAACAAAAAAGTATATAAAAAATTGTAAACTATAACGACCCCGTGAGCTGACAGCTCCATTGGAGGCTCTGGAACTGAATTCCTTTTCGAACATGAGCCGGTTCCACCTAGTTGGAGATTTTCGAGCTCCAAAATCTTGGGTTCTAACCCACCTGTTTAACCATGGCTACTGTTACACCAACTTCAGCTGGCCGAATGATTCGGTCATGCAAGGTGTACCCCGACTGCAACAAGAAGGGAAGTCATATCTGTCAAGTCATTCGACTTCAATGAAAAGGGATGTCTAAAAGTACATTCTAGATTTGCATTGATCAATAAGGATAAGTGCATGAATATTGAAATACCAAATAAAATAAAATTCCTAACAGATACCTTGAGGCACACAGCGACCATGCCAGGATTCCTTTTAGGATCTGGTACTTGAAACACTGCATTATGCTTATTTGGATCAAATTCTTCATTTGTAGGATCATATTTTCCCACTCCAAATTTTTTAAAAACCTGAAAAGTAATGACATGTAAGCGAAGGTCTTTCAAGACATTTAAGCCGAAGAAGCAAGAATAAATAACATAGACCAGAATGAAATAGGAAGGATTACAAATTCAACCCCTTATAGTTATTGAACCTTACATTTCAATTGGAGCAACAATAAGCCTTCTACTGGGATTTTTCCAATATCAAAGAAAAATGTTTGGCTCTCCTCTTCCAGCTGCATGTATATATATATATATATAGCAAACTGCAAACCTTCTTTGCTTCTTTTTCATTTCAGAAGCTGGTTGTGGCATTTAGCAGAAGTGAATGAGCAGCAATGGGTTCTATGGCCAAAATTGGTAGGATTTTAAGGGGTAGTTTTTGGAACTATCATGTTGAAATTTATAATTATAATGTCATCCAGAACTTGCCCTTAAAAGACCTAAAGTTGTTTATACTGTAGATTATGTTTGTACAAAAAAAGGTTCAAGTGTTACTTCCATAGATGAATTCAGTCTACCAAAGCAGTAAAAGAGGAACATAAGCCATGGACTATATTTAGGAGAAAAAGTGTACCTCGGCAAGCTGTTTATCAGTCATTTCAACACCTTCAAGAAGTGTATTCAGAAGTGGCACAGCACCAACAGTATCCTTAGATTCATCAATTTTGGAGAAGCTCTCTTTTACAACAGAAGAAGCCCGTCCCATATTATCAGCAACATCTAGAAGTGCTTTCACAAAATTCTGTAACAACATTTACGCAAAAGATAAGAAACAATCACAAGCACAACGCAATATACTAACAAGTAAATGCAGGACTATCTGGCAAAGCATGTGTCGAGAAAAACTAACTTGAATGGCAAACTTCTTGGAATTTTCTGCTTCTCGTTTGGTTCTGTTCATGAGATTCTCCATCTCCGCATAAGATCTAAGAGCTTTTTCCTTCATTTTCTGAAACTCATCATCTTTTATCTTTAGGAGTTCTTCCTTCTCAGCCACTAGTTTCACCAAGTCATCCCTAGAAAGATCCTCCGTATCTAAATCAGAATCAGAATCAGAAGATACAACTTGTTTAGTACGTCTTCTTCTTCGTTTGACATTTTCATTTGTGTTATCATTGGATGCCAAATCAGGACCTGATTCATCATTTTCATCTTGACCCTGAGAATCAGCAGAAACTGAAGCTTCGCATTTTTCACTCACTTCTCCATTTTCTTTTGTGCTTCCCGGTTTGCTTTGGGACTGAGATGCTTCTTTTTCATTATGCTGAGGGGATGCAGAGGATGAAATTCTAAACTGTTGCAATAGAGATTCACGGAATAGAGTAACCTGATTCACCATTAGCAGAACCAACAATATTTAGGTGCATATGGAAAATGAACATTTCTTCTTTTGACAAGTACAGAGTAACTCATACATAAAATCTCAAGGCATCAAACTTAGTGGAACGTTGATTTTACAGTTCGAGCAACTTAAAAGATCTATAAGTTATCTGGCACTATACAGTATTTTGATTACAGCAAAATTAACAAGTTAGCCAGGTAACTGTTTTCAAATTATGTAGGTCTAGATGTCCCTTTGAAACCTGACAGAGCCAATCCAACTGATAAACATCTTACAACTCCATAACCAACTACATACCAATCATCCAGGAACAAGCTCAAAATATTGCAAATTATCTCAAAATAGTTGTTTCTAAAACTAAGTAAGCTAGCAGCAGTCAATTAAGGTACTCCAACATCTGGCACCATTAGAAGCTCAAAGTTTCAAAAAAGGTTTCAAATGATTGTTTTGAACAGTCTGATATTTTACAATATTCTGTTGATACACCAATATCAACGATTCAAATAGATGCCTATGAATATGATACAGGTAAGTTACGAGTATTGCTTAAACCCTAGCAAAACCCTACACATAAAAAATCGATGAAAAATGAACGACTTCATAAGTATTAAGGCATAACATCAAACCTTCTCTTTGAATTCACGAAAGGAGTGGAACTCAGATGCAAAAATGGGAACGTATTGTTGCTGTTGCTGTTCTCGGGAATAGAGGAGCAACGAGCTCCGGCACTGAGCTACGATGGATTTTGGGAAACGAGATGAAATTCTACCAACCAACATTTCCAAATTCACAGTTTGAGCTCAGATTTGGAGAAACGGAGAAGTGAGAGATATGGAGAAAGAGGTGAATAGTAGTGTTCAGTTCATCGCTTGTGAGAAAGAAAATTGCGAATTGTCGAGAAAACCCCTGTATATTTTCGTTTTTAATTCGTCTAAAAAGAATGACTTCTCTTCTATTTTTTAAAATATTTTAATTTTTTACTTAGCGTGTTTAAGATTATAAATTAAATTAAATTTTTGTATATTTGCAAAATTTTAATCAGAATCACAAGATTCAAATATGTTCTTTATTTTTTAAAATTTTGTGTTAAGTCAAACTAAAACACTTTTTTAAACGAAAAGAGTATTGTGATTAATTGTGAAAGTAATAAGAGGATGCCAGGGTTATATTTGTCATTTTTAGAATATACTTCAGTTAATCATGGAACCATCTAGAAAGTAATGGAAAATAGAGCAACGGCCCTCGGAAACCCCAAAAAGCCGCTCACTTTTTGTTTACTTGACCAATATTTTTTTCCCATCTATTTTTTTATTATAGATATAAATCTTAGTTTTTGATATTCTTTTTTCTACTATATTAATAGCAAAAAGATCAAGAATCCCACATAATTAATAAACTTGTGCACTAATTTTGGATGTTTGACTTGTTAACTTGAAACAACACACTTAAACATCAAGCCTAATCCGTTAATGGAAGACATAAAATGTTCATAAGGATATTGTGTTGTGTTCAACTCAAAATACAATCATGAAATTAAAGATATCAAAAACTCATTAGAGACATCATAAAAACTTCGTGGTTCACTTAGTGTAGTCTCTGAAGAAGGTAAGGTGTATGCAAAACTTACCACTGCCTCGTGAATAAAAATATAAAAACAGCACAAAAGTAAAAGATCTTCCCGGATGTATAATTCATAATATGCATATTTACATGCAGTCTTATTTACCATATGATAATATTACTTCAGTACTCACTATTAAGCCCAAGTCTCAATGTGGGTGTAAGAATAAGAATACAAGATCCATAAAATACTAAACATCACGTCCGGTGCCAGCAATTACTCTATGCTATATCAGCTCTGTACCTCGTTAATCGTAAGGATTTCTGAAATTCTTGAGAAGTTCAGGGATGTCATAACCCAGCATGTCATCGACGGATTGTATCAACTTGGGCTTCAACTTCTCAAACTTATCAATGTTATAACCACTCAGAACTTCCCTGAAGTGTTCGATGTTAGGAAAATCCCCAGCTGGTAGATGGTGTTCCTTTTGAACCTGTTTTGATAAGTCGGAAAATAAGACACAATACACTAAAGCTCCATACAAGAATCATGTCACAAGTCCATGAAATTGCTCTTTGGTGCTAAACATGCATGCACGTTGACCGCATATCATATGTATGTAGATTTGAGACAGAAAATAGAGAGGGGGGGAGGGAGGGACCTTCATAAATTGATCTTCCAAGTTATCGATAAGTTTTTGCTGGGTCTTGGCTTTGCCTATCATCGCAGGCATCTCCTTTTTCAGGTGACTGATAATGTAAGAATGTATCTTGGCAGCTCTAGCACGTTTTACGAATTCATTTATCTGCACAACATATAGAATGTTTAACATCCCCATTTCAAGAAAATTAGATGCATAGTATATGAGCAATAGTAAAATGTGATGCCATAGTGAAGATTATGAACTTACACGACGATCACAAGCCTTCTTTGGTATGTTTTTCAAGTCTGTAAGGAGATCATCTTGTTCCTTCTCAAAAAGTTCTTTTCCAATTGGCCCTATAGCAGCATCATTTATTGGTTTGTCATTAAATGATCTGTGAAAGAGAAAACACCACATTATTGCGGAACTCCAAAAAGTGATGAAGTTATTTAATATTTTGATATCTAGAAGAATACAATTCAAAAGGACTCAACATTATGCTCTATACACACAAATAGGAAATGAAAATAAACGTATCTGCTTCTAGAGAATGCATATTATACCTACACTCAAGCATGAGAGGAAACAGTGTATGGTGGGCCAGTATCTCAAACATGAGGTAGGTTTTTGGACAGAGTAACCCCCACCACCACCACCACCTACCAGGAGCCAATCGCAACCAGTGGCTCTTTTCCACTTCGCTCCCTAGTGACTCGAAACCCAACCTAATGATTGGAGGCGGAGTGTTCTTACCACTAGGCTATCCCTCCTGACCCTCCATTATTGTAACCATGTCTCAAAAAAATCAAGGTCTAACTCCCGAATCAGATGTCAAGTCTCATAAGGTGCAATCAAGATCTCATTCCACCGGCTATAGTCTTAACATAATTGCAGGCTTGATACATC